AAAAAAAAAGAGAGACATTTCCTTACTCGTTCATATTCATCCTTGGCTTTACTAAGCATTTCCAGGATGTCAATGGGCCTGTTTTCATTACAGCCATTGGTTCTGTTGGGACTTTTTCTGTCCTGGGAAACTTGTTGTGATCTCTGAGCTTCTTGTTCTACCACTCTGTAACAGGAAAGGAGAAATAAAATTTAGAAATTTTATCTGGAGTTAACACCTTGCAAAAAGCAGTAAAGTGTACTTACTCCCTGCATATTAACAAATTTTGTTCTGCCTGAATAAAAGCCTAAGACGTAGCTGACCAAAGTTATACAACTTTTCATTTGCTACAAGTCAAACTGTCAAATGGTCTGTACGATTTATCTCCAATCCAGACAGTACTCGTCTGTCTCTCATAAAGTTCACCTACAGTAAACACCACTTCTATAAAACTCATATTTAGACGTTTTTACAATAAAATATGTGGACATTCAAGCATGTGTTATACAAAGAGCATGTGTATTATACCACAGACAAATACATTTTTTACTCTTTACTTTCTAACTTGCATTTTTTCCATATTTAGCCAAATCAAGCCATGTTACTCAACAAAAAACAATTACAAACCAGTTCTAATTTAGGATGAGGCCTACCATTATACAACAAAACAAAGACAGTGGGAGAGAACTGGCTCACACCAGATGTCTCTGGAGTCAGTCTGCAAGGAGCCTCAGAGCAAGTTACCCCTTACTTCTCTACTTAAGGCTCTGAAAAGAAGGGCAAACCATTTTCTTCTCTAGCTGCTCTGTAGTGATTCCAGTTACCTGAAGGTCTACAATACATCTTTTTCTCTGGCCTTTGATACCTATGGTTCATTCATCACTTCTACTCCACTCTTACCTGCCTCAATTATCAAAAAGCTTCATTTTAAAAGACAGTTACAATATGCAAGAAGCTGACGCGTACCTGGTACATTTCATTAATAAAAGTAAAGGAAGGCAGCATATACTTCTAATCCATACACAGTTCACAAGATATACATGGCTGTGCGATGCACTAAAGCTTATCCTCCTGAAATAAACACACACCAGCCAGTAATCCCTTCTTTTTTAAGCCTGCATTAATCAAATATGTTAAGAAAAAACAAGCACTGTAAACAGGGCAGAGCTCTGGAGCTGGCACATCACTTCAGAACTCTCATGCTGTGGAATGATGGCTGATGGGGGAGCCAAGAGGTGCCATCAGAACAATCACAGAAAGTGTCAATCATTCCAGCCTCCAGTTTCTTGGGGTCAGTTAAGATTCAGGACAAACTCTAGATTTTACAAACTGTGGAATAATTAGATATCTATATGCACCTCTATGTTGCCATTTATGAGGAAAAATCAGTTCAAGTCTTGGAAGTTTCTTTCCAGTTTTCTAACAATCAAGCCTCTTTGCTTCACTAGAGTTTAGCTGTGTTTATCTGAACAAGGGTTAGATTTGGTTCTTAACAATTCAATGTTGCTCTCAAAATTACTTTGAAAATTTTTAATCATACAAGCTTGTTTAACCAGCTTCTCATTATTAGTACAGCTTTCCCTGCTTGTAAGCAAGCGTTCACCTGCAAAAGTAGCTCTGAATAGGGAGGCCTATCTACACTGACAGTTTCTAGGAACTGCAGCATGTGCTCATTCAGATGAAGCAGCTCAATACTGTACAAGTGTTTCTATGGTGACACCCTGAGAGAACATTTTGTTCTAGCACCCCACAGGGTCATACAGTCCTGACTTAGGACCTGTCTAAACTCAACTCCAAAACTAGGGATGTGAAAGAACAAGGTAAAAGAACCAGAATACTTTGAGATTTTAAGTGTTAGCATAATTGTATTAGAAAAAATAAATACTTTGGTTAAAGGGAAAAATCTGGATAGCTGAAGTCATGTATGCACTGCCTGACAGGTGAAGCAAAGGCTTCAATCTTGACACCCTCCTTCTTAACTAGTTGGTCCAGGAGGTTTCAATAAAACATCTTCCCATTAAAATCGTAGTTATTTGTCTCACAGCAAAATATATTCAAGGAGCACATCCATTTCACAGAAATCTTTCACAAAGATTTCTGAAAAACATTTAATAATATTTTTCTATTGTCCATTATGAAGTGTTTATTACCTTTTTAAAGTTTAATTAAATTTTTTTTTTAAGAGTAACAAATTATATTCTCATGTAAATAACTGCCTAATACCTAGCTCTTCCTTCACCTTCTGTCTTGTGCAGGTTACATTCAGAAGGTGGTGATGGGGTGAATGTGAAACAGTATACCCCCCAAACGCTCTGAGATACAGTCAGTAAACTAGAAGTGGGAGAGTATCTCAGAAGGTAGTTTAGGTCTCTGTTGAAACAGGCTAAAACAAGCTTAGAAACGAACCTAAAAATAAAACCCCCCACAAATTTACATGTCAGAATGCAACAGTTTCACAAAAATTTCAAAACCCCTAGTTTCTGTCCTACTTCTAAGAAAGCTCTTCCCTCAAACAATCCTCTTGACTTAACTTGACCCAATTTAATTCCTTCTGAAGTTAGAAGTTTGATGATTGCCATAAATTTTTTTCATTTCAGAAAATTCTAGAATTCTTAAAAAAAAAAAAAAAGGAAAAGTTCTATAAATCTAATATTTTTGCTGGGGAAAAAACTCAACTAATGCAAATCTGTATACTGAGCATGTATGCAATCCAGGATTACATCTTTTTTAAGCAAGGCCTGCTGTTTCTTTCCATTATATCAGATAGTGGAAGAGGCACGTATTCCTTTGGGGACACAGTAGCTGCTGTGACAGTTCATGTAAGAATATCTGCAGTTATAGCATTGAAAATATACCTGGCACAACTCACAGAACGTGGAGAAGGGCAGCAGGGGGAGAGATAGAAGGAACAAGAAGTGAAGTCTGATTACAAAGCCTACAAACAGTAACTTACTTTTCGTTCGAGAGATAAGCCACCAAAATATAAATGGATGGTCTGCAATCTTGTTAACTCAGTCTGGCACAATAAGGTCAAGTCAGACAGCAGGAAAGAGAATGCAAATCTTGAAACCTTTTATGGTTAGATTTTTGAAGCTCTGAGGTACTATAAAGGGAGTACTCTCTCCTATCAGTGATTAGAAACACTCTTCAACTAAACAAAAGGGTGCAAATCCAAACTTCCACCCAAGACAAAGAAAAAACCTGTGGAATAAAATTAATAGTCTTGGAAGACAATGTAAATATTTATTTCAAAATATACTGAACTAAGCCTGATGGAACCTGCTGCCATATGCTGAAATGCAGCCTTCCTTCTCCAAGATTCAATTTTATTTTTTAAAAATAAAAGTGTATATTTTAAGTTTTCTTAAATACATCTTTCATCCCAAGATGAAAAAATTCCTGCAGTTTCAGCCTCCTTTGTATAGAGAAGCACACAGAAGCATCAGCACTTACTTTTCTTCTGACTGCCTTCTACTCAGTTTGGGGTAAAGAACAGATGTCAGCAAAATAGTATCAATTTGCTTTTCGTAAAGTTTTTAACAGCCGCCTCAGAAGTGCAGTTTTTCCATCCTTGAGTAATGTGCAACTAGAACACCTTCACTTCATTTTCTTATTATATAAGATACACTTCACCAATATGAATCTCTGGATACTAAGAAGCTATAAGGCATGTGGTACCAAATGAAATGTGATTTCATTCTACAGTGCTTTGTCAACAAATACAAGTAAATATACTTACAAAAAAATACCTTTCTCAGCATAGAAATGGCTTTTGCCAATATTTTTGTTACTCCCAAACCAATACACAAAAGGAAAAGAGAACTAGCAGTATTCAGACATTCCATAATCTAATAATGAAGACTTCATGAAAAAAAGCACTCAGATAGTGAAGACTTACTACTAGCAGCACTTGGTCGAAAAATATATGTGATCTTTGCTAGCACAAATCAATGGCAGCAATGACTAAAAATCATCCGAAAGTGAGATCCTAGCCAGCTCAGCAAAATTTAACTGTCTGTATTCTGTCAATATCTAATCAATAAATTTTTCATGTACACATTTAATTTCTTTAGATTTGTTTGCATAAGTTTGAAGTGACAAAGCTGAATACATGTTCCTTGAAGTCTGCTTGATGCATTAACTCTAATTTCAGTTTGAAAGATACTTTCAATCCACAATCATTTTAACACCTACCATAAAAATTTCCAACATATAAAAAATTCATTTCAGCTTTTTGACCTACCAAAATAATTTATAATCCCAGAAACTTTCTAGGGTGCTGAGATGCTACAGTCACAAGAGCATGTGAGTATCTGCATCATAAACAAGGGTGAATCAGTAATGCCAACTTTGGCACTTCTGTCCCTGTGTTAATAAAGCTGCAATACAGGCATCAGGGACCCAAGAAAATGCAGGCTATAGCAGATTACAAAAATGACAATAAAGCTTAGAATATTCCCTGGCTTTAAATGAACCTGCTGGGTTACAGTTATTTCCAGAATATTACAGAATCCTGCAAAAAGGGTAGACATGCTTTATGGATTGCTGTGCCATGGCTAGACAGACTGTTACCTGATTACACTTTAAAGATCTCTGAGGTATCTATAGCCCATGATTTACACAATAGTGCCTATACTGGTTTAATACCAAATGAACTCAAGTTTTGCTATGTGACACTTAGATCTGCAGTGTAGCTGTGCATGACAGAATAAGAATATGGTAGTCTGAAAAGTTCAGCACACTCTCTCACTTCAAACACTAATCATGGTTTTAAATTAAAAAGTGCATTAAAAAAGAAAGCCATACCCTTCTGATGATCTTTTTATAAAGATGAGAGACAACAGACATGTTATTTGATTTGGTAACGATTTCTAAGAGTCAGTTTCACACAATTGTTTTCCATAAACCCTTATCATTAATCCTTATATTTGAATAAGCCAAATAACAGCTAAAAGACCAACACAGCTGCAAAGAAAAAAAAAAGTAGGAAATGGGAACTGTATAGGGTTACCAGGATGAGAGAAAAGAAATATAAGAGTTTAGAAAGAGATCTTGATATCAAAGTTTGTCATTTGTGTTGCCTTATATTGCTTCTATGGGGAAAAGCCAAAATAATCCAAAGCAAAAACCCCAGACCAAGAAACTAGCACTCAGCTTAAAATGTCTACAGTATGGCTAGTTTTCATATAATTAAATTTTGCCAGTCTTCAAGATGTCCTGACTTGCAATAGACAGCATGCTGATTAAGGCACATAATAAAAAAAAGAAAGTGCAGGAAAGTAGTGTGATAGCAAAGAAAAGCAAAGCAGAGAACAAGGGATGAGATGATGTCCTGTGCAATATATCTGCATTTTGCAACTTTGCTAATGTAACTACTCTGTCACACAATTCAAGCTCCTTCCTTTCATAACGACACTGAAGATTTGCTTAAGTTAATTCTCATCCTTTTCTATTAATATAAAAGTCTTGGCTTAATCTCTAAGGCACCTCACCTGAAAAAACAGAAAGGTGCAAGAATACCCTCCAATCATGACATATTTTATAGACTTTATGCCACATTGCTCAACATAATCCAGCTTCAGCCTTCTTTGATCTCTGTTGTTCACTCAACATTCTGTACTCTAGTCTGAAGTCCTCCTCAGCTGTGGTGGTGCAACCAGCTACAGTACAGAGTCACTAACTGCACTGCTAAATGATAGCAGCTTAAACAAACAAAACCACGTTATTGCAAATAGTCTTTTAAGGTTTCTTTAAACTGAGATTACTGCAGAAATTCTTTTGCTGTGTGACATCTCTGGGAGCCGTTGGAACTACAAAATACGAACAAGTGACATGGCAGCTTTATAAACCAAATTTATCTCCAAAGGGGGAAAAAAAAGAAAGAAATTAGCAACAGGAAGCTTCTATTATTTCAGTTTTGCTTACTCTCCTAACATTGCTTTAATTCTATAAGATTCTACCTGCTTCTCCCAATATTCTCCAATCTCTTCACTTTAGTCAGCAATAACAGCTATGCCTTAAACCCCCCCCCAAAATCACAAACCCAAACAAAAACCTGCCCACCAACAAACCACGAAACCAGCAAAACCCCCCATCATTTGTTTGATTACACTTCCTGTATCAGAAGATCTTTTGCCAACATCCCTACACTAAATATAGAATAATAAAGTGTTCATACTTGCTTTGTTTGGAGAACATCAACTAATACTTCAACTGATTTTTTTTTTTTTACCACTTTACAGCAAACATTTTGATTATTAAAAAACTAGTACCAGCAAGAATGTTGTATTTTTCTATTTAAGGAAAGTGAGAAAAAAAACAAATATATTTAAGAGGTTCAAAATTTTTTTTCCGTATTGCATGAAAGAATTACAGAATAAGACCATATTACTTACTTCGCCATGAGTTTTGCTATTCGATGACAGTCGTTCTTGTCATAAAACCAGATACTGTAAATTGACACTTTAAGAAAAAAAAAATAATTCAAGTGTAAGACAAAGTTGTAAAAAAAAAAAAAAAAAAAAAAAAAAAAAAAAAAAAAAAAAAAAGCAAAACCCCAGTAGTTCATTCAATCTGCAACACAAGAATTACCATCCATTTCCACTCAAATATTAGGTCTGTGATCAACTACTATTTTATAAAGTAATCAGAAATAGCACATGTGCAAACACAAATACAGCTGCAGTCAGATTAAATGTAAGAACTACAAAATGTTAATATTGTTTGCAAATAGAAGTGGCAGGCAAATGAAGTTTTAACTATCTCATGCCTTCTCACTACAGCTGCAACCTTCTGTTTTGAATTACTGACTTTACCATTTAAATCTGGCTCAAGAATATATTTTAAAAAACCCACTATTTTTAAAATTTGTCAAATTTTGAAGCTCAACAAAAATATTAAAGTTTGAATTACAGCATGACAGTTTAGTCAGAGGCTCTCTAAAGGTCCCCTCTCTAAATTCTTTTTGCAGAGGAGTTACTGTACCAGAAGAAAGCAGTACCAAAGCTCCAATCATACTGTCACATTCATGGAGCAGCTTAAAACTAGATTCATATTGAACCTTACTTTTTGAAGGTATCAAGGACAAAGCAATGAGGGCAAAGTAAGACACTAAACCCCATTCTGGCTTTCAGAATAACTAAAATTCCCCTGAAAGTTGGTAGAGTTAGAGTCTGATCACTGAGCTGAAAGGCACTCCAGAGGGAGAAACTTTGTCAGTAGTACCATGCACTATTTCTTCATTGGCAATCCCACTTCAAAGAGGCTGTTTTTTTACCCACACACATACTCATCTCCTCACTGTCCCCACAGTTGTGCCAACATAACAAATCCGCAAAACTCTTTGCAGAATTGTATCTAATCCAGCTCACAAAAGCAGGTTATTTCAAATCTTGGTTCACGTTTGAAGTTTGTCAATGCACAGTGTGCAAGTACATCAAAGGCAACTGGATGCTTTACATACTACCATTAAAATATTTTCATTTCTGAGAAGACACTTTTAGCCTTCTAAAACTCATCTCTATACTGCAGCTCATGCCAATGTTTTTATGAAGTTGAAATCACTGATTATAGAAGTATGACTTAAAGTGAAGGAATGTTTAAATAATAAAAAAAAAAAGAATACACAACATTTTCCAGCCAGATGTAGATTTTTATTTCAAAGTGAAATCCTCCTCCCTGCCTCCGCTTTTTTCCCCACTCAAAAATCTCAACCAAAGCCCACTCAAATTATTTCAAGCCATGGCAAAGAGGGCAGTTATTTACCAAACTTTTTTCTATAACTTCCAGTTATCCTAGGCTTACTGTGTTGGACCAAATCCCTTAAGAAGCCATACCCACATCTTAATATCCTAACAAAATGAAGTTCTACTTTGCCTTTTTTTTTTTTTAATTTTACTAAGCAACAACTATATTAATTTGAGTGTTTGTTTTTTTAGAAGTTACAGCTTAAGTAATAGACAACAAAGATTTTCAAGTAATAAAGAAATCAATACAGCACAGTTTAAGGAACTTTGTTCTTACAAAAGACATAAACCAATACAAAAAAAGCATTTCACACATGTAAACAATGCTTATGAAATATTTAGTTCAATACAACTGGATTGTCTACTGCATAGAAACCCGATAATGTTTCCAGTTTGAGATACTTCTTTAGTCATGTAGCATATTTTAACACTGAAGAAAAGCTCTTTCATTTCCCTGACTTCATTATCAGAAAAACTGCAAAGAGAAAAAAGCTTCTTCAAAAGCATACTTGCTGAAGAAATGAAGATAAGGAACCTATAATGATATCTTAATGGGACAAACGATAAAAGTCACACTCAATTCTGCCAGAAACAGGCCTACACAAGACCAGAAGTAGATCCAAATCTCAGTTTGGCATACAGAGTATCAGGGTTTTTTCCACTTAGTACTACTGGCAAGCAATCATAAGGAGTCACTGCAAAACATTAACAGTATTACGAAGACATAAAGCAGATCATGAACAAGTAAGCTTGAGCATTAACTTAGATATGGTCCAACAGGCTGGAATGTTTACCTTCCTCTTTTCAAAAGGGGACCCATTTGTACTATCAGTTCAGCTCCCTTGCCCTTGAAGTACGTATGTCCCAACTGCATTACTGTATTTGATGTATTTCTTACACACATGCAAATTTAACTATGAACATCCTGTTTTTAAAACCAGAGTTGGTACTTACCAGTTCTTTTCAAACCTGTGATCTTTTTACTACATCCAGCATAAATATTAGCTGAATGTTCATACGTCTAATGGCATATCTTTCTACTGCAGTTTGTCCAACAGAAGCCAGAAAATTAAGGGATTCATTTTTCCATCTAGTACAACACCTTCCATCCAGCTTTTCTACACTGAATGCTGGGCAGCACCTTTAGCAATCAAGTAGCAATTTGTAGTCATCAGCAGCAATATCCTTCATCAGATTCACACGACATTTTGACACACATGAAGTCATGAGTCACCCGTATCACAGACAAACCAGATTTCATAAAATTAAAAGAAGCTGTCAGTTATCTTAATCAACATTCTTGTCTGACATATGTAATTTTTATTAGAAACATTGACCCACAAATATTTATCAAAACACATAACACTTCTCTCCAAACTTGACTGGATCAATCATTAAAATTTGATTGAAATTGCTGGGGGGAGAAAAAAAAAAAAAAAAAAAAAAAAAAAAAAAGATTTTGAGAGAATGGAAGCATTATGGCAGATTTCCTCCTGGAGCTTAGCAGCTGGATGACACCAAAAGGAAGGTCTTGGTCTCTTCTACATTGTGCTCCCAATACTTTAAGGGGAAGTCATACCGTTTCAGTGCTGCTCAGTTAGCAGATCTGACTTAAGAGTGGGCATTGCAAAGTGCCACAGTGAGACAGAGGCCTCTCTTTGACAACATAAAATGTAGTTGCATCCCAAAGCTGTAGTTTCACTTCAGTTTTAATTTTAAGTAAGCAGAAAGAAGCAGCATAACCACCCATACATTGCCACAACTTTGCTGTGAACTCATTCTACCCCAACTCCCCCCTCTCCCCTATGTCGGCTGGGCACGTTTTAGTCCAGACCAGTTCCTTGATGCTGTTTGTGCATCAGCTTCACAAACACGCCACCCAGCACAAGAGAGGACAGAAACAGGAAAGCTGGGGGCAGCACAGTAAGGCAAAGCTGTCAAAATGTTCATGAAACTGTAGCCCGAGAACGCTATGCCAGAAGACATGGACATGTACTCATCAGCACTGCCAGTTTCAGAGATTCCAGACACTGGCACTCTCTTGCCTTAGGCAGTTTAGCCATTTGTGCAGATACAGCTTAATTTCATTCAAAAAGATGATCTGTTTAAAAGTTACCTTAACTAAAAGGAAGAGCCAATAGAAGAGAAATAAAAGTTTTCTTTTACAATTCCAATTTAGGTGTTGCTATACAATAAAGCAGCACAACTGGAAGTGGAGGACAATAACCTTTCAAACTCTCTAGAAAGAAAGGACTCCTATTTTGAAACCCATCCTATAAGGTAATCATGGAAATCAACTTAACCTGATCTCACTCCCATAAAGAAAAGCACATATATGCATCATTTGCATATGCTATATGCATAATTTTACACTTCAAAGAGTTTAAGGCAAAAACACATAAAGCCATCCCTCTCAAAGCTTGTATTTCTTCCAGTAGCAAGGTTAGCTGAAATGCCACCTCTCCACAGTCAATCTGCTCTATTTTCTTCACTGAAATTCCTCATTCACTATTCATATTTTCCTCAATTTAAATATCAGCCTGCCATGTAGATTTATAAATCAGTAGAATTAAAAAAAATAGTCCCTCCTTCTCAATGTTTTGAATATCTAAGGCCATTTCACAAATCCAGTTCACAGCACAATCCCACAAGAGGTTGCACTGGAGTAATTCAGCAGGTGGCAAACAACATCTAAGATCAGGATACTTTATCGACCTGCCATCTGACAAAGTATAGTGTGGAAGGAGAGGGATTACTACTCTGCAACGTTACTGAACCAGAGTGGAAAACCCCTTGCAGTTAGAGTGCCATCTTTCAAGTCAAACAAAGTATTTTTAGAACTTCTTAACAGCTTTCAGTGGTTCCTCCCCTCCCCCTAGCTTGCATTGTGTCTTCTGCTATAAAGGTATTGGGAACAGGCTCCTTTCTTATCTCAGACTAAACCACTGGGTTAATGCGCTTGCTGGAGAGCCATTCAGCTCTGGCAGTCACAGAGATATGTTACACTTAATGCACTGCCAGCTGGGAACAAAGGTGATAATGACAGACTTTCCTTACCAGTAAATATGACCCCTTTGAAACCAGTCAGGAGCTCTTTCAAACAATTTTAAAAGCCATTTGAAATAACGCAGGTCATTTTGCATTTGCTGTTCTGAGTACAAGTTTGTTTAATTAAGGATAATACAACAAGCCCAGAAGACAGCACTTTGTAACTGAGTTTTCCTCTTAAACATATAAGCCTCTCCAAAATCCATTATTTTTGCTTTTCTAACTCTTACTCTTGGACAGGAATAAGAAGCAAGCATAAAAACCACCAAACTAAAAACCACCAAACCAAAACCCCGCACCAAATAAGGACCGTTTATTTGAATACCCAAGTTTTATGCTTAGCATCTCTCTTTTCAGCACCATGGAAATCAATCTGCCTGACCTCTCAAGTGAAATGGCTTGGATTAAAAAGCCTTTTAATCAAGACCAACACCACCGATACAAAGGGAAAGTTATAAATGAGAAAGACTTAGAAGAATTCTTCTTGCAGACTTCAAGAGGTAAGTTTGTCATTGTTTTAAATTTTGCTTTAAAGAAAAATTAGTCCAACTATCATCTCCAAATTTTCACATTACAGATTGAAAGAAAGTACTGAACTTTCAGATTGGACTATCACTGCTGTTACTGGCAGAACCGTATGCATTTTTAAAAATTGAGTTTAACATACTTCTCACAAAATACAGACAAGAGGCAACCAGTTCACTTAAAAATATGGTCAACTGGATTCAGTGCTTCATGAACAAATATTCTGAATACTCCAAAGAATGTGCATGCATCCAGAGGGGAAGTTAGACAAGGATCAAATGTACCTGGCAACACATATTCTACATTAAACAATAATAAAGGGTACATTAAGTATTAAGTATAATCTAAAAAAATTCTTCTTTAAAGAGGAACTCTAAATTAAAAATATGTTACATTACCAAAATGAAAACAAATTGTGATTTAATTTCTTGATTTGTTCACATTTGAAGACACTTGCTTTCTTTAACTCGAAAAGTAGGATATATTTTTTTTCTATTTACCACTGTAATTGGTGTATAGTCTCACAGCTTCTTAACCACACCTCCTGTCATTTTTGCTTTAGGGTCTGATGCCTCATGAATAAATGGTCTAAGTTTTCAGGCAGCATTATACACAACTTATAAAGTAGACACAGAACTTTCTCAAACTGTTGGGCTTAAGTATTCTTTTGCGGCTTGGACCATATTATGTAGTCACAATGTTTCTCAGAAAAAAAAAAAAAAAAAAAATCTGGAGCTGTGAAAGATTTTCCTATTAATGGCTACAATACTGAAAAGGTATTAATTTTGGGGACTGGGGGGAAGCCTCTACATGTCTTGCATCTAACCAGATTAATGAGTAACAAATTGACCCAAATGTCAATTTTTTCACTCAGTGAACAGAACAAAAGGTAGCTATCTAAGAAAGGTACTGTATCACTTGTCTATTCTTACAGAATACCCATAGCCCTGCAAAATAGTGGAAAACCTCCCCAACAAATATGAAAGATAAGTCAGGCCTTCTTTGACATACGAATAAAATGGCAATTACCTAATCTTGTTTTAAGAGTATGAAAAAGCCTTCGTGCAGTTGGATAAAGCATTTCAGGTCTACATCTTAACAAAAACAAGTTCTGATACACAGCAAACTAAAAATTTCATTATATATTAAAAATAAGTATTTGAACAAATCAAACTGTAAACTCACCAAAAATAGTATGATCTAGGATGACAGGAAAGTAATTCTTATAGCCTCCAGCCAAACAAAAATGTTCATATACTGCTTGCAAAGTTTCTCATATAACTTGTTAGCAGCTCTGCATAGACAGGTGTATGTCACTTGATAGAACAGCTCTCATGCCATTCAAGACAGAAATGCCAGAGCTCTGATCTGGTATACATAACAGACTTTGCCCTTACTATCTTCTTAAGTCAAGACAGAATCCCAGAACAAAGTGAATACATGTAGTTTATAAGACAGTAGTATCATATTCAGTTATAAAGATTGTTGACATGGAACATTCTGCAAAAATGTGGTGGTATAGTTTTGCTTTGATCCTCTTCTACTATTTCTACCATGCCCTGGGGAAGCGTAAACCACAATTTGTCACTGAACCTGTTACAACCTAAATATACAGGCACAAAATATGTTTATCTCTGACAAAGAGATATATTAATAAGCATGATTTTAGGTTTTTATCAGATAGTCTGAACCGTTCCCCATCTGTAAGTTAAGGAAATAGAATCATCAGTTCAGTAATTCAGCAATCTTAGCAGAACAACTCACTCTTAAGTTTCTAATGATCACAGTAGATTTCCTCAAGCAGGATACAAAAAACACCCCAACAACCAGCATTCTACAAAGAAACAGAAGTGTTGCCAGCACTCTCTGTAAGAGGTAGGTTTTCCTTGCACAACCTAGCAGTCCACCCCCTTTCAGTCATTAAAGGATCTCAGAAGAACTTCACATTAAGCCATTAGAGATACACCACATAAGCCCTTACAGACACACATTAGGTTAACGATTGGCTTAAAATTCTTATTTGAATTAGTCCCAAAACCGCAAGTTTTTTATGCTTCCGCATGAAAAGAACTTGGACAAGAATCCCCTAATCTATCCATACAAACAAAATACATACATGTTGAAATTTGTCTGCAAATCCACATCAATCCTGTAGGTTTCTGATTTGGGTTTTTTTAGTTTCATAAATACTATGTAGATAGAAGCAAACAGATGTAACACTGAACATTCCAATCATATAACTTGAGGGTTTTATCTAACTAATTTAGGGGAGATCAGAAAACTTGGGAAACTGCATGTACTGAAGAAAACCCAAGACAGAGCAACTAAATGCAAAATCTAAGAGTTAGCAGTGCTGAAGTCATAAGGAATAAAAAGCTTAGATGCTGTTTTCTATGCTTTTAAGCTTGTATTTGAATAAAGTGAACACTAGCAGAACACAAAAAACCCTGATCTGCTGCTTATTTGTGGCATTCAGGGAAGTAACTAATGACACACTACACTGAACATTTTCAATTTGCAGTCAGGGTAAACTGTTTCTGGACATGCTACCCCCCTCTTCTAGGAGACAGGGCAGAGTGATGAAATAACGGATAGTTTCTAACCAAAGTTTTTAAAAATTACAATGGGAAAGATATAAAGGGGAAAAAAAAAAAGAAGATACCCTTGATTACTTCAAAATGCAATTATTCCCCATATCCAGTCTACAATATTTTCCTTGCTCATCATTGTATGAATTTCTTCCTGCCTCACTTTCTGTGTCATCCCTATCCTGACTCCCACAAGCCTCCCACAGATCTTACACAATAGTGTCCCATAGGAGAAGGAGAGCTTTTATCAATGAGAAAGGCATATAATTAACTTTAGGGGTTTCTAAGAAACTCACACACAGCTTACCTTCTCTGATTGTTTCCTTTCAGTGATCTCTGTCACTCCCACTAGAACACACCATGGTAATTCCACAACAGGTCCTGCTTTCTGATACCATCAGCAGTTCCAAAAAAACAAATGAATCAACTTCCTGCTTCCCTTATGTCAGCAATCCCACAACTGCAATTCTTTGTTCTACTGGCACCTCATTAGCCATCTTACTCCTACCACCGTCATCTACAGCTCCTCTTCCTTTCAAACCAAGCAAGCTGCTTAAACATCCAACTCAATGCAGTACTATCTCCCCTTCCCAGTTTCTTGCCAGTCATTTACATCCCTCATCTCCTAGACTTCTCCTCCCAGTGACACTTATAGAAGTATTTGCTAAGACTATTTAAGATTAAGTTTAACTGTTCTTTGTTACCATAATGGAATCTATCCTACTCTCCACAGATCCTAGAGCCTTTCCAAGGAGAAAACAGAAAGGGACTAACATTTGACTTCTCTTTTAGGTATACTGAAGCATAGCCAAAGTAGTGTTCCTATCTGTAATTCAAGGGCACATTCTGATAGGAAGATGACACGGTGTTGAGGAAGTTCTATATCCAGACAGCACACAGGTTCTTTGTGTAATTCATGCAAGGAGAACCTGTCACTACACAGCAGCAAACTAGTTTCAAGAATTTCACCTAGAAAAGAGGACATGAAAGGATACCTTTGTACCAGGAGGACCCTCTGCTCTGTGGGGTGCCTTTTATTTATTTACTCAACATAATGTGAATTTCATATACAGATATATTCCCTCCTCTACTCTTTAAGGTGTACATAATTTACACATTGAGCTCTTTGGAGTAACAGGATATTTAGCATGTACCTAACTGGAACACAGTACACTGGGACTCTGAAGCTTAACCCAAAACACTACCAGAATTCAAAAAGCAGCAAGATGACAATGACCGCTATTTTACCACTTAACTATATAACGACTATCCCAACATGCAGACTTGTTAGAGTCTAGATCCTAGGAAATTTAATATCGACATCTATCTCCCCAGTCCAAAACCTGCTGTGGAGAAAGAAACCTTCAACCTAGACCTGAGCAATTTTCTAAACTTCTTCATGAATCTACTGATAAATATCTAATCTTAGAACTGTTCTTGGTGTTAAACAGTTCCAAAATGTATCAATCTTCACTATTCTTTCATAATTTCTTATTCATGCTATAGCACTGCGTTTACATTTAAATGAAACCTATCATTAATGAAAAAGAATATAGCAATACTGAACTTTGTTAGTATATCCTCTTTCTGTTGAAAGCAGGTGGTCATCATTAATATAATAGCATATCTAGTTAAGTAAATCTAGCACCCTAGACAGAAAACATCACCAGACATTTCATTAGAACCTGCCCCATTACATTATGCTTGAAACATAAATTGCAGTAATTAGAAGTGGACTAGGTTATAAAAAGAACATGAAGTTTACACAGATTAAAGAAAGTTATACTCACAGCTAGCATTTCTGTAAAGAAGAAAATGTTCATGGAGCTGAAACTCCAAATCTTTATTTACTGGTTCAACCAGATTGTGCATGTTCAGTCGATTCACTATCGTAAAACCATGATAAGGAGAAGCTGACCTATTGTTTCAATTAAAACAAAAGACAAGGATTAACACCTTCATCAACATACACAGTTTTCTAAAACAGAGTTACGAATTAATATTCAAGTCTCCATTGCTTTATTAGCTAAAGCTTTAGCAGTCCTGAAGCTCTAATAGTTGTTCTTCTATGCCATTTATTGGCATGCCAACTAATTTCCATTTCAAACTACACTTACCACAAAGTAGGATCAGGAGTAACATTACAGTTCTATACTGCTAAACTGGTGAACCAAAGAAATGCCTCAAAAAAGTCTATTCAAAAAACTAGTGCAGCTCCAGGATTAAAATGCAAGTGTATTCACTACTTCACATAAGATAATGTTGAGGCATTTTAGAATCTTTTATTAAAGGAGAAAAAACCCAACCACTTACAGAGCAACATTTACCTTACTGTAAACAGGTACAACAATAAAAAAAGGCTGTTAGTTTAAATAACATGAAATACATTTAGAGGGGAAGCAGACACAGTAACTTCTTCCTAAAAGGGAGACTCTTAAAATAAAAAGCCAGTGTCCTCAAAGTAGATATTAGATTATTCAGAATTGTATTGCTCAGTAAACCAAATATTATCTAGATTTTTACTAGATAATAGGTGGAAAAAGAAAGCATCAAGCAAGCAAACACTGGAAGTTCAAGAAAGTTTTAGATCTGTTTTCTCTTGCTTCATGAATGTCATGTCAACACACTCAAATGTGCTTGTAATCAGTCATATAACCAACAGAGCAGCATGATGAAGGCAGGGTAAAAAGTCAGATACAATTAGCTAGTAAGTGTTAAGATTTCTGTAACAATGTGATCACCTTTACCTAATGCTCAACAACAAAATCTGTGAAGAGCTTCTAAGGAGGAAGCCAACAATCCTTACCATCCCAAGTTAGTCTTTTAATGAACCTAACAGAACTTGTTTGAAATAATCAGCTAGTCACAAGGAAACTTTTTGCTTAGTCTTTTGTTTTTTTAGTTTGGTTTGCTTTCTTACAGGAAGCATCTCCAAAGTTGGAGCTGAAGTAAAGTAGGCAGGAACTGGTTGCTAGTAGCACTTCACAGAGTCAGGATAAAACCCTGTAATCACAGTCTGATTCAGGATGGGTTAAACCTGCATTATTTATATTTCTTACTTAAACAGTGTGTTATTTCTTTGTTAGATTTCTGTTTTACCTGTATTTTAAAACTTAAATCCATAGTTGGTTTTATGTGCTGGTTCTCCCTCCCACCCCCTTCCCCCATTCCATATAAAAAGAAATTTCTTTCATGATTTTGATGAGGAAATCGAGTAGCCCCCCAAACTATACACCAGCAGATCTCCAGCTTTTAGGCAACTTTGTCCATTTACAAAACTGTTGGGAAATAGCAGAAATTAAATTAGAACAGATAATTTATTTTGTCATCTGTATTGTGTTCAAAATTAACTTTATGGATTTTAGGAAGCAAAGGAAGACTTGGCATTTAACAAACTCAATACCTTAACAAATGCTATCGGATTAACCAAATAAGCTCTATAAACTAGTTTTTTGTGTGGATACATATGTAGCATTCATCAAGTTTTATGATTTTTCAGCAGTACTTTCAGGTGCTTTTGACATAGCCTACGTGCAGGGTTTATTTTTTTCAAATGATTATACAGACATTAACAGTTGGACAAGTAAGTAATTATGAGTTTACTGGATGCAGTAAATCCAGTTTGAAAGCTACACATGAAGCCACCTGAGGTTTGTTTTCTTAAGAAAGAAAAAGGAAAAAAACCCTTACCTTTTATATACAAATAAGGTCCCTTCTATATCAGTTTTCTCCTACAAAAGACAGTAATGGCATTTAGGGATATGCTTGTTCACACAGTTATATAGCTTTTGTATAGCATTTTAATTACAGAGATTTACACTATCCTTATCTTTCCATGAGGTTTGAATTTA